CACGATCCGGCCGCAGCCGCGGCGGCGCTCAAGTCCGGATACCCGCTGGTGTACCCCACGCACCCGCTGCACGGCGTGCACTCGTCGCTAACGGCTGCGGCCGCTGCCGGGGCCACACCGCCGTCCCTGGCCGGCCACCCCCTCTACCCTTACGGCTTCATGCTCCCTAACGACCCACTCCCCCACATCTGCAACTGGGTGTCGGCGAACGGGCCGTGCGACAAGCGCTTCGCCACGTCCGAAGAGCTGCTGAGCCACTTGCGGACCCATACGGCCTTCCCCGGGACAGACAAACTGCTGTCGGGCTACCCCAGCTCGTCCTCTCTGGCCAGTGCCGCAGCGGCCGCCATGGCCTGCCACATGCACATCCCCACGTCGGGCGCTCCGGGGAGCCCCGGGACGCTGGCGCTGCGCAGCCCCCACCACGCGCTGGGACTCAGCAGCCGCTACCACCCCTACTCCAAGAGCCCGCTCCCCACACCCGGCGCTCCCGTGCCGGTGCCGGCCGCCACCGGACCCTACTACTCCCCCTACGCCCTCTACGGACAGAGACTGACCACGGCCTCGGCGCTGGGGTATCAGTGAGCGAGGTTCGAGAGGGCTGGCGAGGGAAAGAAAGGAGCTGGGGGAGGGGAGGAGCCGAGGGAGGGGCGGGCACTGGGAGAAGCTACTGTCACCCGTGAGTGGGGATGAGCCGGGCCAGGAAAGGAAAAAATATATATACCGTATCTATCTACCCGAAACAGCGACCGAGACCCGGTGGGAAACTCCCCTTTCCCCCACCTCACCTCCCCACCTAAACTTTATAAAAGTTGAAAAAAAATATCATTTGACTTTTTATAGATAAAGAAGGAAAAAGTAATTGAGAAAGTGTTCATCTAAGGACTGCATCGGTGGACACCGGTATTTATTTATGTTAGCTCCAAGCGGACCCGCGGTTCTAAAGTGCATTATTTAGTTTGAGTTCCGTAGATAAAAAGAAAGAGGGGGGATTTAAAAATGGAAAACAAACCCTCCCGTCCCTTGTAGATTATAAATAAATACAAAACCGCCACAGAACTAGAGGTCTTCTCTTTAATGTTACTTTAAAATTGATACAATTGTATTGTACGTTCTTATTTAATGTCTGATGGAAACACAATTTACATGCATGTTTGTTACAAAAAATGAAAAACAGAAACAAAACAAGTCACAATTTGTCAGCTCTGATTTCAAATTGCAATTATTTTTAGGTGTATACCATCGCAAGAGAATGGGTATTTTTTTGTATGTATTCTGGAAGAAAACAACAAAAAAAAAAAAAAAAAAGGAAAAACAATTCTATTCCAAAACCTCATCTGCCTTATTTTGTTCTTTAAAAGGAACACTTAACTATTTTTAATTTTTAAGTAAACCCGCTGAGAAGGGGACAAGTAAGGTTTACGTCATGTACTAAAATAATAGACAATGTATCGCTTTAAAGATTAAAATTCCGTATATTTGATGTATTAAAAGGTTTTACTTATTATTATTATCTTTTTTATTTTTTGGTTAAAGAGAAAGAAGAGCGAGGCAGCCGCAGTGGGCTCCCGGGGCCTCACGCCCACTCCTTCCCAGGACCGTGGCCGCATTTCCGATTGTTTTGCTGTGATTTTCAGGACAAGGCAAAGGCTTCGGAAGCGCTGGCCAGTAGTGGGTTTGTCTTAGGGAAACTATGTTTCAAGAGGGGATTTCACAATTTGAAAAGATATTATCCTTAGTTATCGCTCATTTCGTTTTTTATTTTTCTCCCAGCAGCCTGTTTATTAAAAGCGAAAGAAAAATGATTTTTTTAAATGTCCTCTTGAGATTTTTAGGAGTTTGGGTTTCGGTTTGAGCCGAGAGCTGCGCAGGCCCGGACTCGCCCGGCGGGGCTCGGCCCAGGGGAGGCGCCGCGGCCTGCTGTGGCTCCCTTTGCTTTCCAAGCATCCCTGCTCCGGCCGGGCCGCCGGGATCGCCTGCGCGACGGGGGACGCTTGGGAACCTGTTTCCCAGGGCCAGGGCGAGCGCGCCGGAACCCCCTTCTCTCTCAGGGGAAAGTGAGTTTGCTCTCCTTTTCTGACTGCCAAGCGCCAGAGGTAGCCGCCAGCCGACCTCCTCCAGCACCCCGCTTCCACTCACCCTCCCACAGCCCCTCCTCGGGCTCCTGCTCCTCTCTGGAGTCGGCACCCGCGACTAGCCGGCGCCGCGGCTGCTTTTCCGCGTCCCGATTTCTCCGCAGCCGGCGGGCGCTCTATCCCAGTCGGTGCCGCAGCGCAGCGCGCGGGGGCAGCGGGCCCGGAAGCCCCTTCAAATTCGACCCCGCGAGGGTCCTGGCGGGCCTTCTCCGCCTGGCTGGGGCGACCAGGTGGGCGCCGAGTGCGGTTCTGGGCAGCGAGCTGCACTCCCCAAAGCCGCGGTGGGACCCTCTGTGCCCGCGCGGGTCCCCGCCGTGCGCACCGCTCCCTTCTCCCCAATCTGAGCGACGGGTCTGAGCTGCCTGAAGCGACAGTGGAACCACGCAGAGAAGAGCCCTAATCTTG